CAATCTAATAATCTATCATGGTTTAGTAATATCAGGAGTGAATAATAATAGATATATAGATATATTATTATTCACTCCTGGTAATATGTGTGTATGCAGGATGGCGTTTTGCTAGAGAAAGGGGTTCTACCTATCATGGCTTTCACGAATTAAACATGCTGAGAGATATCAGGAATTATTATATGATACTAGCATTCAAAGTACATACGTATGTGTAGGAGGCCGTACTAACAATTGAGAGGGGAGGGGAGCGCTTCATCGAATCTCGCGCGCTCACTCCAGTCGAGAGGGAGCGACATTCACACTAAGTAAACACTCGCATCTCATTCAGCAAGAAGGGGGATGAGAAATTTGCATGTTTTCCGTCTCGAGCGATAGAACTCACTCACACGAGAGGATGCAGTGAACAGAGCAGGATAAGGAGCTAGGAAGAAAGCCGGGTGCGAAGAAGAAGAAGAAGAAGAAGAAGAAGAAGAAGAAGAGGCAGAATTCACACAAAGACCGGATAACGACAATCGCGTGTATTGTGTGTGTGTGAGAGATGATTACCGTGTGCGGCGACGACGACAGCGACGATGACGTTGCGTACATTGTGTCGGCGCGCGGCGACGTGAAGTTAATCACATCACGTGAGCGTTCGAGCTATTAATAGATGTTTACGTCATTAACTTGGTTTTTCTGCAGGTAGATGGATTCGTTCGTTACTGACATTCGGAAATTCGTTAAACAATGATGGACACGGTTTCCATTCGTAGTCGCTCGACGATGTCATATAATTATACTATAGAGTTTAACTATCTAACGATTTTAGGGCCTCTCAAACATCGAAATTCTTTCAATAAAGAATAATTGACTTTTTTTCATGAAGTACTTCTTTTTCCCCTTCTCTTCCTTCCCTTCTTCTCTCCTTCCTTCTACTCCCCTGCTTCCTGCACCCTCCTCCCTTGTCCCCTCCTCCCCTTCTCTTCCTTCCCTTCTTCCCTCCTTCCTTCTACNATATATATGTAATAGTATTAACGTCTAACTAAGAAGATTGATCTGTTTACCAGCTACTATTGTTGGGCAGGGGTCACATATTATTCTGGTCTAATGAAGTGTGAAAGGTGTTAATCTCAATTGTTATTCAATTCCCTCGTGGACCTAACGTATTAGTCCCTGTACACCTGTTTGTCTCTAACGCCTCATCTTAGTAAGTCCCTTGACGCGCGTTGTTATATACTATCAAGCGCCCGAATAAATACATTAACTAGCTTACGCGTGTGGGCGCGCGCGCGCGTGTGTGTGTCTGTGTGTGTGTGTGTGTGTGTGTGTGTGTGTGTGTGTTGTTTGTGTGTGCGTGCGCGTGCGCGCGTGTGTGTCTATGACTTATTATACAGTCGCGATATTCATACCAAATACGTTTCTCGAAAATCCCACAAGGGACTAACTAGTCAAGCCCCCTCTCTCTGTTTGGGCCTCTCTCTCTGCCCCCTCCTTTCTCTTTCTCTGTTGGGATCTCCTTACAATGCTCACCGGAGATTTTTGAAAGGCCCTCCAGATGGTGCGCCCGTGCATTGTGCAATACTCGCCAGCCAGTATGTATAATATTATATATACTGCCCTTCACAGCCCTGCACTGCCCCGCCAGAACGCTTGCTTCCACCCACACAACAGCATTATGTACGTATTGCCGTTCAGGACGCCCGCCTTTCCCCCCCATAACAGGTTACGTATAGGATAAGCACGATCTCATGGTCGCCTGTTCGCGTGATACTAAGCGGGGAGCGGCGGCGGGGCAAGCGGTGATCGGCGGCGGGGCATTGTTTCGCGGGGTCGCGGCGACGAGGCGCTGGGCCGTTGTTTAATTATTACGTGCCGCGGATTCTTTTGTCGCCGTCTGTTCTTACGGCCGCGTGTGTTTGCTCGCACCATATGGCGACGAATTTTGAGGTGCCGCCGAAAGACGCGTGTCGAATTGGAACGTGAGAGGCTGAGAGAGAGAGGAGGGGGGAGAGACGAGAGAGAGAAGAGAGGGTGAATGGGGTTGGCGGGCAGGCTGGGGGAACGAAAGAGAAGGATGGGGAGAGTTAAAGATGCGGGGCCAGAGAGGGGAGAGGGAAAGCCCGAGCAACTGACAAGAGAGAGGGGGGGAGAGCAGACAGACAGACGAGAGAGGGAGAGACGAGGGAGAAGAGAGAGCGAAGAGAGTGAGCACCCCGCGAGGAGCGGAGAAGCGAAGAGAGAGACGAGAGGAGAAGAGAGAGAGAGGAGGAGGCCCCCCAAGGATGAAGAGAGAAGCAGACGAGAGCTAGAGAAGCCGAGAGAGGAGCAACGGAGAGAGAGGAGCAGACCCCCCCCCAACGCGAAAGAGCGAGGAGAGGGAAAGAGCAGCGAATCGAGACCGGCCGAGAGAGCCGCAGAGCAACCGCCACCGACCGCCCACGCCCAGACCCAGGCAACCAAACCGCAACCCGCCTCCCCGAGACGTAGAACCCGCACCGACCCCACACGACGAGAGACGCACCGACCCACGACCCCGAGCCCGCGTGCCCGAGCACCCCGACCCGCACCCGCGAAACGACGACGCCCCAGCCCGGCGAGCCCCGACCGAGAGACCCGAGAGGCACCCGGACAGAGACCGACGCAGACGACACGACAGAGCCGCGATCCACCGAGGGAAGAGAGCCACCCCGAGCGGCGAACGACCCCGACCACCGACGAGAGAGACGATGGCCCCGCGTCCCCCACGTCCGCCACTGGCTTGGAAGAAACGACCGACGCGGAGACGACGGACCCGCCCGAGACGACCGAGAAGACAGAGACCCGAGAGCCAAGAGAGAGAGAGAGAGAGAGACCGAGGAGGTGCCCACTCGAGACACCGTCCGCCGAGAGCCCCCCACCAGACGAGAGCCAGCAGAGAGACCCGAAGACGAGAGAGAAAGAGACTAGAGAGCAGAGAGAGAAAGAGAGCAAGAGAAGCAGGAGAGGAGAGAAGAGACGAGAAAGTCAAGCAACAGACGAGACGGAGCAGGACCCCGAGCCCGAAGAGGACACCCCCGAGAGAGACCCCGCCACTCACCTCGCAAGCACGAACGACCGACCAGCACCGAGACCACGAGCACCCCCCGACGACGCCCCCCACCCCCCAGAGACGACAGACAAGACGCAACCACCCCACCCCCGAGACGACCGAGCAGCGAGCCAAACCGCCGAGGCCCCAACCCCCCCGGCCCCCGACGCACCGAGAAGAGAGAGAGCAGAGAGACGAGACGAGACGACGATGAGACGAGAGACGACGAGAGAGGAATAGAGAGCAGTGTTGGACAAAGACTACTCGCTAAATTTGATCATGGATACCGGGTTTCATGTCGTACAGTTTGCTTCCCGACGCTAAATTTCCTAGTGAATATTTGCGCTGTCCCCAACCAACCACTCTGCGGCCCCGCTGTACTATTCAAATCATGTCATAAAAAATATGATAATCCAAGTAAATTGAACAGTGTAAAAATTATATAGTCTACCTTAACCATGCTATCACGGCGAGCCTCAAAATACAATAAAGATTATATACTAATCTAATGAGAAAGTAAATTCATAAGAATAATTAAAATGATACAGGATCTCGACTAAGAAATCAGTATCGGTAAAACATGAACATAAAAGACATGAACAACTATACCAGCCGGTTCTTAACCCTGGGGGTCCGCCGTGACCCTCTCATGGGGGTCCGTTTGAGGCAAGTTTTCTCGGCGTCATCAAAGGGTCATAAATGAAACAAATCCATTTTAATTTTTATATAATTATCAGGGTGCTACAAAAAAAATTTCCTCATTTGCCCGGCCAAGTGAATTTGTTTTCATCGCCTGATGGCTGCGAAGCAATGTTAGCCATTTCGGATTGACTGAGTATTGGCAGACATGTCTTCATAAATCGGCGCTGGTAGTTTTTTTTCAATTTTTGTTTAGTGGGGTCCCGAGTACTGACCAAGAATGTCTGGATGGGGGTCGTGGGGCCCAGAAGAGAGGTTAAGAACCACTGAACTAATAGAGAGCGGAAATCGCCCACACACTGGCGTTCAGTGAACCGACGTGGGTTCGTATCATCATAGGTTGTTCGTTCCTCGCGCCGCCGGACGGCATGGGTATTAGGAAAAGCCGGAAAGATAAATAAGGGGATAAGGGCACACAGCGACGTCGTCGTTAGTGATAAGGCGCTTGAACCGAGATAAAAACTGCCAGACGTCATGAGGAGCAGAGATTAGCATAAGGGAGGAGAAAGAAGAGAGAGAGAGAGTCGGAGAGAGAGAGAGAGAGAGAGAGAGGGCAAGGACGGGAGAGACAGAGAGGGAGGGAGAGAGGGAGATGAGAGAGACGAGATGAAGAGAGAGAGAGGGCTGTTGAGAGAGATGAGAGCGACGAGCGCACCCGAAGAGATAGACACATAGATGAAGAGAACGATAGGGGGAGAGAGAAATTGAGAGAGACAGAGAGAGAACGTGGCGAGATAGAGAGACAGAAAAAGACCGAAGCGCGCCGCGGAAGAGAGAAAGAAGAGATTAGAAGAGAGAGAGAGAGAGGGAAAAAGAATGAGATAAAGAAAGAGAGCGCGAGGCAGAGAGAGACAGTTAGAAGGAGGGAGACACACAGAGAGAGATATATATAGAAAGAGAGAGACATGGCGAGTGAGTGAGACAGACAGACAGAGGCGATTCCCTTCCCCTCCTCTCGTTAGCATCTCCGCTATCACCGATCGTTCGTTCGTTCTGTCGCACACGCTCACTGTTGCTAACCGTGACGACGGATATGTCGTAAAATTTTAATGTCGCACGGCCGATGATGCTAAATATTCCCGACGGACCGGTTTCCGTTTTGATGTGCTGGACGCAGATGGGATGAAGAAAATACAAAAATGAAACGAGGCGCTCGCGCAAAAATTGTTTTAAGTGCGTCGCGGATGAAAATTTAAGCGGGGGTTCAGGCGTGTTTTGCGTGTCGTGGGAGTTAGAGGGGGAAAGCAAGATCATAATCACATCGTATATAGTCGGGTGTTTAATGCGTAAATGCGACGGTCAGGCGTTGTCAAGCGGCCTCTCAGTCAGTGCGTGCAGTGTCGTGTGTCTTGCTCTGCCTGTGTGCCTCTCTCTCGCACGTTCTCTTTATCTCGCGCGCTGTCTATCTCACTATCGCTCTCTGTTTCTCGCACGCTCTCTTTATATCTCTATCTCCCCCCTCTCTCACACACATGCACTCTCTCTCTCTCTTTCTGTCTCTCTGGATAATTTTCTCTTTCTCTCTGTATATCTTTCTCGTATGCTCTCTTTATATCTGTCTCGTATGCTCTCTTTTATCTCTGTCTCACTCTCTCTCTTCTCTCTCTCTCACATCTGTCGGTCTTCTCTAATCTCGTCGCGAATGCTTGCCTGAGGACCCAGGACGCGAGCTGCTCCGCCGTGCGCCGCTGCAGCGCCGCTGCTGCTGGCGGCTGCTGCTGTTGCTGCTCTGTCACTGCGGCTGCTGCTGGCGTGGTGATTGCTGCGGCCGTGCGAGCTGCTGCTGCTGCTAGGCTGCTACTGAAGACTGCTGTGCTTGCTGCTTGCGTGCTGCTGCTGCGTCGTGGCACGTAACCCGAATCATTCGATGAGGAGCGATTGCGGTCATGATTAAATTTATTTCGGATTTTTACGAGAACTAAATCTGCAACGGGATCGGTATAGGATCGGATATCTATTTCTCTCGTGTCCGCCCTCTCGTTCTCGTCCTCTCCACTCTTTCTCGCGTCTTTCCTCTCTCTCGGTCGTCTTCTCTCAGCTCTCTCTCTCTCTCATATATATATATATATATATATAATATAGTATATATATAACTATATATATATGTATATAATATATATAGTATAATGCCAGATACATGGGAGATAGAGATAGAGATATAAGAGAGAGAGAGAGAGAGAGAGAGAGATAGAAAGCGAGATAGTTAAGCGAAGGAAGAGAATACGAGAGGAGGGCGGGAGAAGACAAGTTCCCAGGAAGGGAAAAGGAAGGAGGAATAGAGAGAGAGAGAGAGAGAAGAGGAGGGAGAGGATAAAGAGAGGAGTAGTTAGAGAAGGAAGGAGGAAGAAGAGAGTAAACAAACACAAAGACACACAGACGAGCAAGATGGAGACAGGGAAGGAGGAGAAAGTAGGAATGGAGAAAAAGAGAAAGATTAAAAAAGAGAGAAGAGGAGAGAAGAATGGATAGAGGAGAGGGAAAAAAGAATAGAAGGAAGGAAAGAGATGAGAAGAGGAGTAGAGGAAAAAGAAGGAGAAGGGAGAGAGAGGTAGGGAATAGAGGACTGGGAGAAGAAGAGGGGAGGATAGAGGAAAGGAGGATAGGAGTAGAACGAAGAGAAAGCAGGAAGGGGAGGAAGAGGGGAGACGGGGAGAAAAAAGGGAGGAGGATAGGAGAACTACGAGGAAGGAGGAGTAGGAGAGAGACCTAGAGAGAAAGAAAGCAGGATAGGACACAGAGAGAGAGAGAGGGGGAGAGGAGAGAAGAGAGAGAGAGAGAGAGAGAGAGAGAGAGAGAGGCGACGAGACGAAGACAGGACAGACTAGACGACAGAGCAGTACAGAGGATGTATCCGCTACGCTAGTGGAGGGAATACAGAAGTATGGCAAGTAAGGTCATGACGATAAGCTTTCTGAAGAAGTATACCAAACTTCCTTCCTACACGACAATGGCCGTAATTAGTATAATTAGTGTTAATTAGCAACAAACATACGCACGCGCTCCAATTTCGACGAGATTGAAATCGTCGTGACGTCATCGCCTGCCACGTCGGCTGCCGACGTCGGGTTCGTTAATCGTGGACGACGCGACTAGTGAATTTCAACGACGAATCAACGCGAGAGAGAAGAAGAGGAGAGATAGTCAGAGAGTCAGACAGATATATAGAAGACATAGAGAGAGAGAAGAAGGAGAGAGAGAGAGAGAGAAAAGAAGAGAGAGATGAGAAGAGACAGGCACGAAGGAGAGAGAACACTAAAATGAGTGAGGCACGCACAGAGAGAGAGATGGCAGACGCAACACACACACACACACACGCACACGCACACACCACACACACACCACACCACAACACACACACCACACACAACCCACGCACACGCACACAACACACACCACACACACACACACACACACACACACGCCACGCACACACCCACAACGGCTGCGCGCACAACACGGCACACACACGCACACACACACAGCACAGCACACCA